GTATCCCTGAGAATAGAAAACGGGAAGCCACATAGGCAGCAAGGTGACATTGAGAGCCTGCACCTCGCACCATAACATCCCTCCCACCATGGCACTCGAACCAGTACAACATCCACTGATGCAATGGAATTTTACCCCAAGAAGTGGATTGGTCCWCCAAAGCTTTATAGGGAGGAAGTTCCCCAAGAAGCTCCTCACAAAACCCCCTCAACACTGGAGGGATAGACTGAACATGTTGCAAATGTTGTGCCACAGCACCCYCAACCGGCAGCGCTAACAATGCTGCCACATCCTCCACTATGATGGTGAATTCCCCAAATGCACCCACAAAGGTGTGGGTACGAGAACACCAATGGCTCAGAAGGTGCCCTACATACTTGACACCTTCCCGACCTCGGAGATTTGTGTAGCAATCCATGAACTTAAGAAGCATGGAATCTTGAAGCATCCGGTAATACATGGGGTTCTCAAGAATGTATCGCGTCCAGGTAGTATAATTAGTGGGAGACCTTGAACTATCGGTTTGGGGCTCCTGACACTTGTAGGACATAGAAACATCTATAGTGTCGCAAAGACACATTAACTCTATGCCCTTAATGACATCAAAGGAGCCACCCTCACCCCAAGACACAGGCACAGGGGGCCAAAAACCCCTCCCACCATCAACGGCCGAGGCCACCTCCCTCTCCACCAACAACGATGCAGTGTCGACTTCCTTAGCGAAGTCAGCGAAAAAAGAGTCTGGATTTCCCTGACGAGCGGCCATGGGGGCAGACGAAACAGACACAAGAAAACAAGAGACAAGAAAGAAAGGAAAGGGCCTTTTTGCGCAACTCAAGGAATAAATGACTATGTTGAGACGATAGCAAGAGTTGAAGAAAGAACAAATGTGATTACTCTTCCTCCTTTTATAGTGACTTCCCACTTCCACACGCACAGCAGACCAAACGGCGCTAGAGAAGACGATAAGACGTCTGTGCAATACCCGAAACGATGCTTAGCGGAAAAGTAACCATGAAAATTACCCAAATGCCCCTACAAAAGTGGGACCAGCGAGGCACATTTAATTCAAATGAAGCATCACGTCAATAACCACCACCGAATTGTATCGGATATCGAATTTGCCCCACACGTGCGACTGACTCGCAATGATTTTGGAACGACAATTGAAAGGCCACTACCTACGAGTGCCACATGGCGGTCCCCAACAGACCCCGCAGTCACTATTAACCACAGAGCATTGATAGGAAACAAAACTGCACATTCCCAACAAAAGAGATACACAAAACCAATCACAGAGAAGGCTCCCTCCCACCAAGTCGTCGCTAACAACATCTCCCTCCTTCCTCGCAAGATTAACAGTCCGAGAAGGACTAACGGTGAGACCACCATACCCAGGTTAGCTAGAGAGGCTAATGTACATACGCCAGTAGARTGACACATTCTTCAATATATTCGACGTGAAAGTCGATGGCAGAAAAACTTCCACAAGTCCTCAACCACTGCACAAAGACAGACCAAGACATATGGTCGAAAGGGAGATTCATAATCTCAGACATCACCATAGCAAGCGTATTTAGTGTCAGACTGATGACGACGGAGGGAAGTTCAAATGGTGGCAATCAACCATCTCGAATAATCGCCTCCGCAAATTTCACCRCTGCTCYTGTCACCATAAACCTGTAACTCAGACGAACGCCTTGGACAGGAATGCCATCGACGGCCTCRTACCCCAAAGGGGCTATGGAATTATCCTCACAATGTTGTACAAGYAGTCGACGAACCAAGGTGAGCTCCGAATCATCGCCTACCCTACTAGGTGCTGACTCCACCGGAGACGATGGAGCGGGACATCAGGAAYCCGAGCCCCTCCCTACGCACTGTTCTGTTGAGAGCCATCACTAAACGCAAATTGCAAGGGAGATTAGGACAAGTGAAACAAGAAAGYTGGATCGAATGGAGACGATGACAAACAATAAGACATGCCGCACCCTTTTATACACAACCCACGGCCTGATAACAAGGGAGCCGAATAGGTACACCTAGACGAATCACTACGAAGAGCAATTTCAAATAACTTACAGTTTTTTACAACGGCGCATGTGTTCGAGCGTATCGACGCATACAACATTCGGACACTAAAAAAGAGAAATAATGATTACGGCCATCATACTTGAAAGCTCATTAATAACAAACAATGGCAACCATCGAGCCATCAGTCATTAACCAATACCATGCGGTGAAAACAAATGCTTATTCGAACAATTATATTTAGGGATTGTCTTTTGTTGATTTCCTTCCTGTCAATGGTCAAGGGGGCTAGAATACAATTAGTGTAAGACACTATTCGCATCCAGCAAGCAAATCACCAAAAGACAGGGGGCTAAGTCATAGATTATAATTAACCATCAAAGCGAATACATGGTACATGYGATCTACACAAAACTACAAAATAGGCAAAAACTCCAAACCCAACGCACACAGGCAAACCTATCACAAAATCCGAAGGCRAAAAGGCAATATGCCTATCGATAATCTCCTACTTACCGATAAGTAGGGGGGACAATATAGGTATATACCGCTCACTCAAACCCTCAAAGAACACTCAGACATAAGGATTAACACCACAAAAGCATATGTGAGTATCTTGCAATCGACCACCACGCTACGATGAACTTGCGACACACTGTCACCTCTACGATGAACTCACAACACACGAAGCAAACGACCCAAGAAACCCCACAGGGACCCGCCCAAACGACCCAAGCCCACCTGAGTGTGCGATGATGAAGCTATGCCCGCTACAATGTGCGATGAACTCATAGCTCGCGAGCCCACTCTTGACGACGGGTTAGAAGGGACATTAGGCTGAGCCCATTGTGAAGCCCGCGTGTGCCCGGACGCACATGGACCCACGATAGCAAAGCTCCCTATGAGCCGCCACGTGGAATTGGCAAAGCACCGATCACCGAATGGTAATGTTACCATTGCCACATAAGACTAGTTATAATGCGCAAAAAGGTAGTAGAACACGTGAGTAATGAGAGATTTCGAGGATAAGGAAAGCCAATCCCTGAGAAGAAGATCTTCATGAAATACATGGCGATACTCCAGTAGCGCATCCAATAATTGACAATGAATCAAATATTCTCTTCCCCGACACGGAGCGAATATCTTCATCTCCTACCTTTTAGGATCTTGAGATCCCATCCATAAATATGGATCCTCCTCATATCAGAAATTATCCGATCCCAAGCAATCTATTGCCTAGTATTCGTGAGTTATCCCTATTTCCTGCATCCTCAACCCAAAGATCCTCACTTCCCTGTCCACAAGACYCTTCTCTCTCTTTCAAAGAGACCGATTCCTCACCCCCCTTTAGTAGTCTCACTTGGATATGCACCCACTACGGTAGCAGAGTTGGATTACCAAGAGACCAATCAACCATTGAACTAATGTTAGTTTGTAAAATGCTCAAGGGATCAAGTTAATTTCTGTTTCGAATTTTCATGAGGTTGGGAAGTGTATTGGCAGTCAAATGATTAAAACAAAATAACTAAAGATTCAAAATGTTCAAGAAAAAAAAATTGATTAGATTGAACTGTGAAAATTTGTTACCGTTCAAGTTTCGATTGTCATACCATACRTACGTGTATTGTTATAGGCTCCGGTTATATTTCAGTTATATAAGATGGTCTTCTCCCTCATGGTTGAAAATGCAGGCAACCTTCGTCAACAGGAGAAAGCAGCAGTAAAGTTCACCCACCAGAAAGTTCATCAGAGAGTTCTTCGGAGACTTCAGTGAGAACCTCATCTATTATAGAAAGCCATACAATTTGCATTCAAATGTTTTTGGATGATCCCGTGGGTGAACTTTGCCTGGTTTTAGGGTAGGGAAATTTACAGAGAAGGGAATGAGCCAGAAGTCTGATTGGGAAAATCCGTAAACTTAAAAGGTTTTCCAATGGTATTTTAGTAAATTTATACCTCAATAGATAGATAAAAAAAAAAGGGTAAAATTAGCATTTTAAAGAAATAGATGCACTACCGTCTACCGTCCACAGAAGGGAGGGTAACTGCATGATTTTTTAAAACTACAAGGGTGGTATTTGTTAAAGCCAAAATATAGGAGAGGCTACCTCAGGAAGGTTTTTACATTTTAAAAATATTTAACAGAATTATTCCATGAAACTAAAATGCCAATCAACGGGGCAAAGTGTTGAAATCCAAAATTTTAGATGAATTTTTGTCACAAAATAATTTGGAGACATTTTAGTGAAAATCAACGCTAAGGCTCATGCCATTCATAAGAACACATGGGGCCCATATAAAAAWAAATAAATAAAATAATTGTGAATCTCATCTATTTTATTATTATTGGTWTGTAGCATTCTCATTAATTTCACAGCAATTATTATATTCAACTAATCCTTTCTCGTTTAAGTGTCACTACCCTAAAATAAAGGACGGTTGTAATTTTACCCAAAAAATTAATATCCAACCTCAATTAAAATTTTTCGATTCTTCAATCCCTTTATTTATTATTTATTCAATCCCTTTATAGAAACTTGCACAAGAAACAACTTATATAAGCACTTTTGCATATAAACACTTTAACATACCTTTGATATCCAGAGAGTTCTTTTCTTATTTCTTCTCTTTTTCTTTTCCTCTTTTTTTTTTTTTCAATCCAATTACGTTTCTGATGATTAATACACCCTCAGTGCTATCTAGAATTCCAGACAACTCTATTCTAGACAACTCTATTGTCTAGAGTAGACTGTAGAGTTACTATGTTCCCTTTATTAGCACTAATAATCCAACAACCTGTCTACCATCTAATGTACATCAGGCAATCAAATTTTTAACAAGGACAATTTTGTAAAACCCAAAACGTCCCATTACTAGACAGTAGACACAATGACCCAGTCTTTGACTAACATTCTCGTCCTAATATTCCCCAATATTAATTAATTATTTAATACTCAACAATCGACACGTGTAAAAACTTCTCAAAGATGTACTTAAAGATATACTTGCAAGCTGCCTGTCTCCGCCATCAACCTTATCCACAACCGAATATTCAAAAATAATAATTTCCTTTTCCTAGTATTAAAATTTATATTTATTTTCTTCTACTACAAATCTCGCAGTACCCAAACCGATCAAACAATAACCAAATACACTGTACAGAAAAAGTCCTGTCAACTTCGCCACGACACCACATCAAGCGTCCCTTCACATCACATCAGGCTCAAAACCGTACAAGTCATCTCACAAACAATACCCTTGATTACATCTACGTGTCATCGCCCTCGCAGATTGAGACATTGAGTCTATGTCGGTCCCACCTTCTCTTTTGTCCTCTTCCCTTGCTATCGTGCGCCGCAAACCTTACGCTGGCATCCGCCGCGTATGATTTCTCTGACAGACGAACCAGATTTTTCTTAAAAAAATTATTGTTATTATTTTATCTTGTCCGAGTTGTCGCCGGCCGGACGAAACGGCCGCCGGTTCCGTCAGACACGGCGTCGAATCCCACGGACCTGCACTGCGCGGCGAATTTCTCAAAGCCGGCCGGGAATGCCGCCGACGCCGGGACCTGATTAACTGTTCTCTTGTACGGTCCGAACCATTTCGCTTGCATGTAACGGTTCTTTCTCCATGGAGGAAGATGAAGCCCCTTGCTCTTCAGTGATCTCTTCGCTGCATCGCACATTAGCCTCACGATACGCCTCATCTGCTCCGATCTTCCCACGTAAACTCTCGGCAGCAGCTCTAGGAGCTTCTCGTAATGCGCCGTTGGCCTCGCGATCTCGAACTCACCGGCGAAATCCACGTCCACGAAGTATCTCTGCTGCTGCTGACTCGCAGAGCCTTCCGACCTGACTACGTCGATGAACTCGTAGCTCCCGGCAGTCACCCCGCCGGAGCTGTCCCATTTCGTCTTGCAGATCCCGGCATTGTAGCCTGAATCCCGCAGATAAACCATAACCTGCCGACGGAAGGCCGCCTTATTCGGTCTCAAGCAAGAGAACATCTCCACCGCTTTGGAGACAGTAGAAACAAGCAGCAACCGAAACGAATCCCCACCGTCGACCATCATCGCATTCTCCAGATCCTCGATCACATCCGTCCGTTCACTGCCGGAGAAATCATGATCCGAGTCGGACCGATCCTCCTGTTGCCGGACCTCAGCGTTATCTTCCAAGAAGCCATAAACTAGGTCGGAGAGACAAGGAGAGTCATCACCCTCGTGTTCACTCCCGCTACTAACATAGCTGGTATTCCGGTGATCTCTCCCGCACAAACAATTTCTCACCTCGTCGTTGAGTGGATCGGTAACCCGCTTCGTTCGAACGAAAACCGCCATTTCTCTCCACAAAACCCGAGATATTGAGAAGAAGCGCAGCTCTGCAATCACAGACAGTCGCCTTATAGGCCGCAGCGATGGTCACATTTATACGACAGAATGGGCTCATAAGTCATAAATTAGCCCAAACATCTCATAAGCCGATTTTTGGAATTTTTAGCGAATATTCGTTAAAAAGGGTTTTCGAAAAAACGAGTCTTCGCTGCTAACGGACTATTAAACTGGTAGACTGGTAATAAAGCCATTTGCCTTCGAGGGGATATAAGGATATACCGGTCGAATCGGCCAAATCAGGAGTACACGTGGCGGTATATCCAACGGCACCATGCTTTATTCGTCTCGTACGTTTATGGTTGACGCGGAAGACTGTTATTGGACCGAGCTTTTAATCAACAACCATGGTTTTATCAATCAGGGCAAATTACCCCCTAAGGTTTAGATAGTTGACTAATTATATTTTTATTATTTTAATATTGTCTTAAATATTTTACTGTTTCTGATAATTATTGTTATAGTTAAACAGTAACGGAAAAAAGTAAAATGACAAATTTGTTCTTCACCTGTTTTTTAAATATTCAAAATAAACCCAACTCCTTCTATGCTCGTCTTTCTGATGGTATGGAAATTTATCAGAGATTTTAACAAAAACCTTGAATTTACGAGCGGATACATCTGATGCCGTTCATGGAGGTATCGCAACCCAAGCGGATGCATCTGTGCAGGTCCCAAATCTCACTACTTGGGCAGGAAAACGTTGTCCACCCAGTTTCCATCTACTAATAAGGTCTGATACCTTGGATGAATTGAAGGCGTTGCTTGAATCACAATATGAGATGGAATATCCGTTCTTATAATATGAAAATAGCCCATTAATGCTAAAATTTGCCGCAGACATTCCGGTGGTTGGCGTGCAACAAGTTACCGATGTATCACAGTAAGAGACATGCCACAGCTGAGCAAAGATTTTGATAATCAAAAGTTTGCGAAACCCATAATTTCTACCTTGGATCTGTCCAAAAGCATTTCGCTGCTGAGGAGATTTATTTGATGGTGCTGATTAAAACGAAGGAAATTGCTGAGGCGTTCTTGGGTCAGACCATCRAAACGTTGTGATCATCTTTTGAACCTCGATCCGAAGTGAAGGCCCTTTGCCAGAGACACCCATCTAGGTGGAGGGGACAACCTGAAAACACATCGCCAGAGACACCCATCGTCGGAGACAACCTCAAAACACAGAACAAGAAACCCTAAGTGTCAGGGACAAAAACTCAACGATGAGGGACTTGCTTGAAGAGGAGAGGTATAAAACATAAAGAACTGATAAAAAGTGATGTAGTCTTGGTCCTGGCTAAAGCTTGGAACAGACGTTGGAGTTGGCGAGACAAGTTCGAATCTTGCCCTAATTTGCAAAATCTGTGACATGGGTGCGGAGCCACAAAGAGAAACCTTCGAGCCTGTACTCCTTGTAGCTCCTGCCTAGTGCAATGTAGCTGCCGTCAGGCCTGATGACGACGAAAACTGGGACAAGCAGAGCGAGGAGGAGCACGATGAGGACAGCCATGCGAAAGATGTAAAAGGCCAGGACGCACTGGCAGTTCCAGTAGGCGCCGACGAATCCGGTGAGATGTACAAGAAAGATGAGGACCACCAGCCACCAGAAATAGTGGATGCACTCATTGTTCGGTTTGAAGGCTAGCTAGATTCCGGCGCCGATATTGGGAATTGAACAGAGGAGAGCCAGAAAGTTCAGGATAGCTACGTACGATGTTGTCACTTAACTATCATGGCGGGTCTTTTTCTCTTCGAATTATATCACTGCAATTCAAAGAAAGAAAGGAAACCGGGGACTTGGTGATACAAGAGAACAGAGAAGAAAGCCGATGGAAGCCCGTCGGAAGCCATTCTCCCGGCTGTTGCTGCTACTGATACCTGAGTTTGAACTCACATCCTTTCGTTTTTTGCTTTACCTCCAACGATTTTTTACATTTCGAGTTTCTGGAGACTCATCGCTTGACACAGTAACTCGGACGAGCATTTGGTCGTCGCCGTACAAGGGCAGCTTCCTTTTGCTCCTGAAGGCAATGATGGCCGGTGGTGTTGGAGGGTAGTATTGGATTTTAAAAATATTTTGACGGAACATTAACGAACGTTAATAACAGGGGTAGATTTAATCAGTTGTCTTTAGAGGTATTTTAAGATAAAAATCAAACAACAAAGATAAATTAGTCAATTAATTAAATTTTAGGAATAGTTTAAAAAATTTGCCCTATCATTTATCACTTTTTCTCATAGTTGTAGCCAAGCTTATTGGCAAGTGATGGGTGCGCACCGTGCTCGTGCGGTCATAGAAGGTTTCGTGGTTGGCTTTGGCTCATGTCCCTTGGTTTCCAGGAGGGACAACGGGGGCAAGGGGCCAAGCGTCTACGTTGTAGAGGTAAAGGGCTGGCAGCTGGCCGAAGACGTTAGTCACGTTATCAGGACGTGGCAGCTTTCCACGTGTCAATTTTGAAAGGGAAAATTTCCTTTTCTTGCCTCGGGTTAGGTTTCTTCTTGTGGATAAGCATCTAACACGTGGAAATACATTTTTAATGGCTTGTTCTACATATCATACTAATTCCCACGTGGCAAATACATTAGGATTGAAATTTGAAAACATACGAGTGGTCTCCACTCTCCAGTTAATCATGAAAGGTTTGATTTTCTGATGCTGCCACACTGTATCTATCACCRCCTATCACGARGTCTTTCTCATATCCTATCCATCATCGGTTGGAGATTTCGTCCTGTGCACTGAAACGCAACCCGACATTTTCTTTCTTTTACCGTTGATTTTATTAATTTATTTGTACTGATAATCTTAAAGGGTTTAGGAGTTTGGATTTATTCCCTTGCACTCCACACCTGCCGCATAATACATCCTAGTGGTGTCCATGAAAAAATCGAAAACCCGAATTAACTCGAGAAAACCGAACCGAAAATTACAGTTAATCAACCCGAATTAAATCGAGAAAACCGAACCGAAAAATACAATTAATGAAATCGACTGATTCGGTTTCGGTTTGGTATTTTTGAAAAATTGAAGGATCAGTTCAATTTTTGGTTTATCTACAAAAAACGGTGATTAATTGAATCGACCGACACATATATTTATATGTATATTTTACATATATTTTTAATATACGTCACATATTTTCTATATATTATATATAAATATATATTCATTATATATATAAATATATACATAGATTATATTTATAATAATCTATTTATAAATATATTATATATTTTTATAATATTTTTAATATAATATAATATTAAATATTATACATATATTTATATTATATATATTATAAATATAAAAAACCGAAAAATYGAAATCGATGGACCGATTAACTGATGGTACTGGTTCGGTTTATAAAATTTGCCCATGATTTGGTTAACCGAATCCTAGACACCCCTAATACATTCCACTCCTATTCGGAATTTCTCCMCATGCCACTCCTTTATACGTAGGTTTCAAAAAAATAAAAAAATAAATTTGCAAATAATATAAATTTGGAGAATTCGGATTAGCTGAAYAGGATGGTTGTTTGACAGACTGTGGAACCAATGATGAGATTCCATGTCGGTGATAAATTAATGGATCCCACTATAAAATACCAACGTAAAACCTTGTCATTTGTTCCAAAGTCTGCTGGACAGTCATCACGTTCAGCCAAGCCTTGGTCAAATTTAGGATCATTGTGCCCTATAGAAACAGAAATGGAGTTAGGACTTTTAGTGTCAATGGAGTTCGAGGCGGAAAGGAGACAGGATATTTGAATTCGGGGTCAGAGACGAAGCATACAAAACCAGACTCCACTCCACCTTGATGCCATTCCTAATGCAAATTCGGATTTTAGTTATCATAAAGAGGAAATTATTGATATGGTGCATGCATATAAGACTTTTGGCACACAACACCGAGAACTGAGTTCGGATCTCCTGCCCACACAAATTCTGTCCACTTTATAGCAGCCACACTGGAGAACATCTCAACCTCCGCATAATATTATGCAGGGCGAGATGTTCCCAATTCACGGAGGTAATGTATTGTGGGTAGACGTTGGCAGGAGATCCGGAGTCATGAGAACTTGCCTTTCTGTGATTGAATTCGAATCGAAAGGTGCTTTACCACCAATTCAATGTATGTAACATTGAGGGGTTTGGCATATGATCCCACTCGATCTAATCCTGTATTGTTAATTTGATCAAAATTATATTATCTAGTCAGTCAGTATGTGGCATTGAGCTTTTCAACTGGCTCAGCTCAGTTTCAGCCAAGCTCGAGTTCGAGATTGAGC